TCCTAGTACGAGCGTGAGGATTAGACTAGATAACACACGCAACAACTCAGAAATTTGCCTGGCCCATTGAAGGCATTCAATAAAGGTCGGCTATTATTTTTATGCAACCTTTTATGAATGGTTGATTCCTGAGGCACAAACAAGCCACTAACTTCTTCCAACCCTTCACGTGAGAAGGTGAAAACCTTGACTTCAATTGAGGTCTGTTTTTCTTGGTAGATTAAATGCCTTTCCTCCCTCCTTTATCTTGTGAACTCCTTGTGGATCTTGTCTTTTCAAGATTCTTTTCCAAACAATGCCTCTTCCAAGGAGTGTCCTCACCTTCCACAGGGCCAGCTCCTACCCTCTCAAAGGTGACCTGCGGACTCACACATACCTCCTTTTTAGGGCCTGTTGCGTGGCGCTAGAACACTTTGCAGACTTGTCTTGCCACTTGATTGTGACTGGCTCAGAGTAGAGTTCATTATTTCTCTAAATAAATGCTTCTGGTTATCTACTTGTACCTCCCAGTCGCCCAGTACAGCACCTGGGACCCACAGGTCTTTAGAAAATGTTTGGGGAACAGTGAAGGAAGAGAAAAGGAAATAGACTAAAAGATTGGATGTGACGATGGCTCTAGAAATGCCAAAGTCTGTGTCCAGAACCTAAAGTAGAGCATAAACCAACGCAGGGTCTCAGCATCCAGGTGATGAGGCTGGTTAAGAGCAGGGCTCCAGAGCCAGCCTACCTGAGCTTGGATCTAGACCCTCCCCCTTACCAGCTGGGTGACTTTGGACACTTAGTCACATCTCTGATCCTCAATTTCCTCATTTGTAAAATGGGATAAAAACCACTGATACCCTCACATGAGGCTTATGTGAGGGATGTATGTGAGGGTTAAACAAAATAAATAATAGGAATTATGTACACACAGGTAAGTGTTCAATAAATGTTAACGACTGTTGTTGTTACTAATGATGTAAATTGCAGGCTATGGAATCAGACAGACTTGAATTTAAATCCAAGTTCTACCACTTACTAGTTTGTGTGACCTTGGGAAAGTTTGTTACATTACATTTTGTAAACATCAGCTTCCTCATCTATAATGTGACAATAATACCTGTATCAAGAAAAGAATACACTTTAAAAAATGGTTAGCAGCCTGACGCCTGACACCCACCAAGTGCTCCACGAAGAGTCATTATCATCAAGGCAGTCACTACAAAAAGGGCAAACTGAGGCAGGGACCGAGAATGGAATCCAGATAGAACGTAGACCAGTGTCATGAGATCCAGCCAAAGAAATAGTGTCCTGGGTCTACTGAAAGTGGCCTGATTGTCTTCTACTCCACTTAATGCTTGTGGACAAGTACGTGTAGGGACTGCCACCTCCCAGAGCAGGGCAGAATGCTTCGAGGACCTGATATCCTGCCCCCTACCCCAGATTGGGCATCCTCTGCACTCCCACAGCTGTGTTTCCTCCATGTTGTTCTCAACTTAAATGTATCTATCTGGGCGTCAGTGTCATGCCTCACATCCTTGGCTTCCACACTGCCAGGCGTATTTAAGGAACTCAATAATGTTCATGGACTTGGCCTGGACACTTGAACAGCACGGATAGAAGATGTGTTGACATCAAAGAGTCTCAATCCCAACACAGGTTCTTCAGCCATCAATTTAATGCTGATGTCTACATGAGCTTGTGTCATTTACTTTGCTTTAAGAATTTTGAAATTATCTCCCCCACAGTTACCAAGCAAATAGGTTTCAACTCCTCGACCTTAGACTGCATAAGATTTCTGAGGTTCACAAACCTAAGGGAAAAGTCAAATTTCCTTCTGTTACTTTCTCACCTCCACACCTTGCTCCCAAAACATGAAGTTTCTAAAAAGTCTTTCTGGTGGCAAATCAGCTGTTTAAAAGTAGCTATTTTTAATAAAGTTTTCAAATCAATCTTCCCCCAAGAAGATGGGGAGAAGAAAGCAAACACATTGTTTCACCATCATATATACATACACACACGAAGAAAACTTAGTTCCTGTTAGTGAAGTCTATCTCTGTGTGTTTGCGAAAACTCAATTTGCAGCCAGGTAAAGTGATATTTATTTGAAGGAGCTTATTGCTGAAAGTGAATCATAAATCTGCTGGCTGTTGAGACTTCAAGGCAGGAAGAACAGAGGCAATTATTAGTCTGAATGTTCCACTGACGATATGAAATCTTTGTCTTTCAAAGCATTTGTTTAAGTAAGAAAAAGTTTGCCCAGCCTGGAGAACATTCTATTGTGGGAAATGAAACTTCTGAAACCTCCAAAGCTTATTTATATATTTGCTAGGCTTCTCTCTGCCAACTTTCTCCTCTCCCAGAGCGTCCGTTAATGCTAAGAAAAGCCTCCGAAAAGCACACATTATAAGCAGGGAAAAATCTTAATGAATGTAATATATTTGGCAAATCTGTTTTATCTACTGAGGAGATTTCCTTCCTCTCTTCATCACTCATCTCTTTTGTTTCTTCTTTTTCTAATGTTGTTCCCCTTGATTTGTCCTTCTTCCTGTGGAATTCATTTTTCTCTCCTCCCAAAGATAAAAAATAGAATCCCAAACAATATCTTGACATTCATTCTCTTGCCATTGTGTTCTGTTTCTTTCTACCTACTCAATTTTCTTCCTTGGGAGAAGAGGGAGACCTTAAGAGCACAGCGTTATCTTCCCCTCTCTAGCCCAACCAGAGGAAACATATCCAGGGCAAAGCCAGCTCCCAACTATGCACAGGTAAGCTGTACACTTCATAGGTGGTCCTTGGCCAAGGAACACGGCAAGCTCACCTCCCGTGCCACTCAGCATGCCCCTCCCCTGAGCTGGTGTGTACTCAATAAGTACTAAGCCATCTTAGGGCCAGGCGCAGTGGCTTATGCCTGTAATCCCAGCAGTCTGGGAGGCCGAGGTGGGCAGATCACTTCAGGCCAGGAGTTCAAGACCAGCCTGGCCAACATGGAAAAACCCTATCTCTACTAAAAATACAAAAATTAGCCGGACATGGTAGCACATGCCTGTAATTCCAGCCACTCAGGATGCTGAGACACAAGAATCGCTTGAACCCGGGAGGCAGAGGTTGCAGTGAGCCGAGATCACACCACTGCACTCCAGCCTGGGTGACAGAGTGAGAATCCGTCTCAAAAAAAAAAGTTACTAAACCATCTTAATATAGGCCTGAACACCCCAGCATCAGCTGTCAGCCATAGAAAGCAAGTGTTTACTCATATAAGGCATTCCAAATCCAAAGTCAAAAGATTGGGAGTTATCTGAACAATTTCTCTCTGACACTAATAAGCTTAAGTGACAGCAGAATGTGTTTGTATATCTTTGTACACAATTTGATTCTCCTTTCTATTGAAGCTGTGCAACCTAAGAATACAGCTGTGACCTGAGATTCTCTTAACACCTTGCTAATCAGAGCATAGTACCCAGGCCAGCAGCAGCAACATCACCTGGGGAGCCCTAGCCTCAGGCTTACTGAATCAGAAACTTTATTTTAACAAGATCTCCAGGTGGCTTGCTTGCACATCAGGGTCTGAGAAGCTCGGTTAACACCAAGCATAAAAGTGGCACCTGAAGATTGGGTTTGAGAAGTGAGGGGCTGCACCTGCTAAGCCTGCTGCTTCTGCTTTGTGAACCCTCTGCAGGGTGGTTGGTACCTCTTAGGTGTCACCATGCTCCCCATCCCCTTCCCTGACTCTAGTTGTTGTCACCTCTCCATCTGTTGGCTACACCAGACTACGAGGGCCTTGGTCTTGGTAACTGCAGGTGACACTTGTGCATGGACCAGCCATGCTCTTTCCTTCCTCCCGGGTCTGCCTGTACCTGTGTGAGCTGTTATCACAGAGACTGATAACTTGACATTTACAGTTTCTTTCCCAGATAGGAACACAAGGCATTTCATGAAAGCTGCACATAATCCTTCTCAATCCTCTGTAGAATGGGGAGGGAAAGTGCATTTTAAATTCCATTTTGGTTATCCCACCTCAATGCTATTCTCTCCCCTTCTAGAATAAAAGAAAATAACTAAAGAGGCATTGCCCCCGGAGAAGTGTGTGTGTGTGTGTGTGTGTGTGTGTGTGTGTGTGTGTGTGTGCGCGCGCGCGCGCGCGCACGCAATAATTCTGAGTTTCAGGGAAGGCTTCTAGGTTGAAGTAACTTCTGAAACAACTCCAGATTCTTCACGGGATTTCTTCTGACTCTCAGATGACAGGCACTTATTTAGGTACTCCTCTTCCCCACACCTCAAGCCCTGGCTGCCCCCAGGAGCCCATATTCCCATGGGCACAAAGACTGGAGACAGTAACAAACTGGTCCCTTGAGCTTTGCCTCAGCTTCACCCTAAAACACAAACCCAAGCCACATCTTTAGCCTTTCTGCCAACAATTTCCCCACTCAGGTGTTCTAAGCACTTCTCCGAAGGCATTCTCATGCATTTTAGTTTCTTTTTTCTCTCTCTCTCATCATCCCAAGCAGCCTCCCTTATTAGGTGATTATCTTGGAATTACAACCTCTTTATTTCTTTTCTTTTAGGCCCATGAGGACATCGCAGGGCAGGGACTGACTGGTTCAAACAGTGAACTTCTCCCAGACAGCAAGGAGTCCAATCAGTTCACTGTGGTTTTCCCCATGAGTAAACACAGTCCCTGGAGGCCACAGCTCCTCTTCTGGACACCCAGCACCTTGGCCAGCCCAGTGAGGAAAGCAAGGTCTGGAAGCCTCCCAAGGGGTCACATCTCCTGTTGGGTCACTAAGTATTCACACCTCCTCCTAGCGACACCTATAAGTGCTGTCAGAGTGTGTACTCCCATACAGGCCTAAATTTTTAATGCCTCCAAAAACAAAAATAAAGAGAGACACTCTTCTACCTCAACATGGCCACAAACAGAGTTCCACGTTAGCCTCCTAGAAGGGCAGGAATAAGGGAGGTGAAAATGGAATAGGTAAGGAGTAGGACTAGACAACTCAATGTCACACAGAGGTACTCACCATTTGTAGTTCATTGAATGAAGCATCTGGGTCTCCAAAGTCCTCTGGCATAGCCTCTTTAAGAACACAACAGTGACTTCCTGAACTCAGCACTGAGCCATCTAATATCCGCAGAGCTCTTCCTGCTTCTTTCTGAAGCCCCCATCCTATCACCAGATGATAGAAGCACCTTCTCTCCCTGCCACCAAAATGAAAGTTGCCTCTCTGAAATAAAATCTTTCACCTGAGATTCCATTTAATTTAAATCCCGTTAATTCAGCTGATACAGAGATGTGTTACCAACAAGAAGGAATGCCTTTGTTTGACTGAGCCCCAGCTGGGAGGCATAACTTCGACTCTGGCCTTGTGGGCGATTTTTCTGTGAGCCTCGGGGGCTTGAAGAAAGAAATTCCAATTTGAATATCTTAAAATTCTTGGAAGGATCTGGCTAGCAATAGGGAGTGCCTTGCTTCCCACAGATTAACTCAAATGGACAATAAGATCAGTCCAAATGGTTCCTATGCATATTTCTGGAATAGTTCAAAATGGAATGTCCTTTTCCACAATGCATGTTTTAACACATTCTTTAAACCTACTAAAGAACAAAACCTAAGAATGTACTTCATTTTAGTCTTAATTCATTCCATAGTTAGAAGCTATAAGATTGGATGGAACACGATCTTAGATGATTATTATTTCAGTTATGTGCAAGAAATATTTGCTGTTTCCACTAAGTGCTTGGAGGCATCATGTAGGACACCAAAGTGTGAAACTCAGTCTGCTACATGTGGTTGTAACCCACATAAAGCCAGGCTGGTCTTTTCTCACCTAGAAGTCAGCCTCAAAGAAATACAGTCAAAAATAGCCAAGAAGCAATTTAAATCTTTATTGAAATCTATTGAAATTTACCCAAAGAGATCGCACTCATAGCACACAGCAAAATGTATTGAAACCATTCCTCCTGCCACTTTCTCTCTACATTAATATCTTATTTGTGCATGTGTGTGTGCATTCATTTGCCACTGCACCTGCCCCTAAAGCCTCTCCTCTCCCTCCTATGCTCCCCAAATCTCTCAAATTTAACTCACACAAGACTTTTTTCTCTGCCTCTCTTCCCTGTGTCTGTATCTGTTACTTTTCTCCTGTCCGTAGCTCTCTGATATTTTCCATGTAAACCTGGGTGGTCTCTCTCAACTTCTCCAAGTCTCTTCAACAGCCACAATCATATACAATTGACCCTGGAACCCACTTGGCAAGGCCCTCTCCCTAGGAGAGGTCAGAGGGAGGCAGACTGCTTCTCCTCTGCGAGCAGAGGAAGGGAAATACTGTGACTATTTGAATTACAGTCTTTCTCTGCCAGAAGGGAACTATTTAATAAAAATTAATTGAATACTTATTTTTAAATCCTACCCAATATGAACTTTATCATGAAAATGGACATGGGCCCTGTCATCAAAGAGCTTACTCTCTAAGTAGGAAGGCAATGACCCAATAATTGAATAATTACTATTATGATGAGTGCTGCGGCCACCAGCAGAGTATGACTCTAATCCAGATGTCCCCTTAAGATGTCAGTTAAAATGGTCAAACACCATTGTGTATCTAGTGGAAAGTCCAGAGCCCTCTTCAAGATCTCTGCAAAATTTCTGCAGAGAGGCAGATAGGGGAATGGGACATGCTTTCCTGCCTCTGCTGAATTCTCTCCCATTTCCTGCCTCTGCTGAATGCTTGTTTTGTGTTCCATGCCTTGAGGTCAATCTTTTATCTTCCTGTCTTCTCACTCAAGCAACCGGGGAACAAAGCTTGTGATGTGTAGCAAAACTTGCACATTTCTACAAAACTTTTCTAGGTCACTGCCAGAAAGTTACATTTCTGCATGATACAGCAAATACTTAAAACTACATATCGGTCATGTCTCATCTTGGAACTCATCATCACGTAGGGGATTTCTCACTGGTCTTTCTAGTCTAGCACTCAGTCCTTGACTTGCCGTTTCTCTGTCTTCTGTCTTTCTCTCTCTCTCACACACACACACACACACACACACACACACAGAGAGAGAGAGAGAGAGAGATTGTCCAAGTCATTGCACATTCCTCTCACCCTATTTTGCACAAAAATTTAGCACTCTACAACCCTTATGTCTAAACTCAGTTCCAAGCCTAACCTTGAATAGCCAACACTTTCAAGTAACCAGATGAGCAAAAGAGCTAGCTGTGTGTTCAAAAGCAAAAAGAATGGCAAACTTATAGGATCCACCCTCCTACATTAAGTGACTAAAATAATTATACTAACACTGAGAGAGATAAAAGCTATCCCTACCTGTCCAAATAAGAAGATTAGACCAAATACTTTCTAAGGCCCACTAGATGATATGTTCTAAAAGATCAGGGACAGTGTCTGTCTTGTTATCTGCTATACCCACTATCTAGCACAGTGCTATCTTTCTCAACAAACAAGTGCTTTTTGAATAGTATATTAACATCGTTTTCAGTGCTTACGTTCTGTGAGTTCTTTAATATTTGCAGTTCTTTTACATTGGTTAGGATTATGTCAGCTATGAGTAACTGATGCAACAACTCGAAATGGGTTAAATGATAAGGGAATTATTATCACACAAAACGCAAAGTCTAAACATTAAGTTGTTTTAGTGTTAATCAAATCAGCATTTGGTAATATTTTCAATACCCAGGTTCTTTTTGTCTTTCTTCTTTTTTTTTTTTTTTGAGATACAGTCTCCCTCTGTCACCCAGGCTGGAGTGTAGTGGCACAATCTCCGCTCACTGCAACCTCTGCCTCCTGGGTTCAAGCAATTCTCCTGCCTCAGCCTCCTGAGTATCTGGGATTATAGGCATGTGCCACCACACCCAGGTAATTTTTTGTATTTTTAGTAGAGACGGGGTTTCACCATGTTAGCCAGGATGGCCTGAGTCTCCTGCCCTCATTATCTACCCACCTCGGCCTCCCAAAGTGCTGGGATTACAGGCGTGAGCCACTGCGCCCAGCCTGTCTTTCTAATCTACTATCCTCAGTGAGGTCCTCAAGAATATTCCCTCATGACTGCAAATAGTTTTAGCTCTTTCAAATGTCATACCCACACACAACAATGCCGGTTTCCAGTCCTTCATCATGAGCAAAGATAACTTTCTCAGAAGCCACTTTGTAGACTTTACCTCATCTTACATTTCACTGGCCAAAATTACATTACATGCTCAGTCCTAAATCAATCAATTGCAAGAGACAAAACCTAAGACTTATCAGGATTCAGCTCTTGGAGCTAAAACTCCAAAGTCCTTGAGGAGCACAAAGCCCCTGAAGAATTTAGCCACTCTTTTCATGAACAAAACCTGGGTTCTGTTAGCAAAGATAAAGAAATGAGTATCTGCTAGGTAGTCAACAAACAGCATATGTCATAATTATGATCTCATCAAAAAAAGCCATTCCAAATGTGATAAGAATTGTTCTGAATACAGTACTGATTCCAAGTAAATGAGTGAGCCACTGAGATGCAGTATAGAGACTTCTGATTCCAAAATGGTGGTATACACACAAGCTGGCTTCCATCCCTATCCTCACACCCTACAGAAAAATAAAACCCAATATGCAGCACTGAGATTATCACCAGTGATATCCCAGAACTCAAACATAAGGATGAGTCCATTCCTGAGGACACAGAGAAGTTTAAAACAAAACTCTGAGCAGATAGAAAATCAGATTCTCATATCCTTCACTCCCCTCCCCAAATTTGCTCTACCCCAAACACATGGCAAATGTCCTTTGACTTATGGTTTCTACGCTAGAAAAAGTAAGATAGAGGTAGACAACCAATTTCTCCACCATCTCAGGCTCTTTGGCAGGAGACCTGTCTATGCCTTAACCCACAGGAAGCAGTCTAACTACCTGAAGGGAGACATATCCCTGAGGACAGGCAACAAAAAAAGGGGGCAAAGTTGGACCACCATCTCTAGCCTTGAAAGCTCTGCTCTATAACTCAGCCAAAGGAGACACCAGAGGAGAGTGGCTGTTCAGCAGCACTATGCTGTAGGAAGTATGTTTCATAGGTCCCCTGAAAATGAACCCTTAGACAGCCTTTCCATGCTGTCAGGATAGGCTTTTTTGGGGACATTCCACATTCTGAACAGGCAGCACTCTAATTATTTGCTAGAGCCAAGACAAACCTGAGCTTTAGGCACCATCTAGTACCAAAAAGAAGACAGCGGCCTAACAGAAAAAATATATATAAGAAATCCAACAGGTAAATTACAAGGAATCTCTAAGCAACATAACCAATAAAAAACAAAACAAGCCAGACAGAGAAAACTATAATAAATAACTAATTCTTCAATACAAAGATATAGACATCCACACGAAACAACAGGAAACCATGACCTCACCAAATGGACAAAGCAAGGAACCAGTGACAGATCCTAACAAGATGGTGATATGTGAGCTCTCTGATCAAGAATTCAAAATAGCAGTTTTAAGGAAACTCAGTGATCTCCAAAATAATACAGAAAATCAATTCAGAAATGTATCAGAGAAATTTAACTAAGAGATTTAAATAATTTTTTAAATCAAACAGAAATTTTGGAACTGAGAAATACATTCACTGACTTGGAAAATACACTGGAGGCTCTCAACAACAGAATGAATGAAGCAGAGGGAAGAATCAGTGAACTTGAAGACAGGCAATTTGAAACTATACTTTCAGAAGACAAAAAAGAATGAAAAGGAAAAAAGATTGCCTACAAGATATAGAAAATAACCTCGAAAGATCAAATCTAAGAATTATTGGTGTTCAAGAGGGAATAGAACAAGACAAATGGTTAGAAAGATTATTTGAAGATGTAATAACATAAAACTTTTTTTTAAAGACAGAGTCTCATTCTGTCACACAGGCTGGAGTACAGTGGTGTGATCTTTGCTCACTGCAAGCTCCGCCTCCTGGGTTCACGCCATTCTCCTGCCTCAACCTCCCAAGTAACTGAGACTACAGGCACCTGCCACCACGCCCAGCTACTTTTTTGTATTTTTAGTAGAGATGGGGTTTCACCGTGTTATCCAGAATAGTCTTGATCTCCTGACCTCATGATCCGCCCACCTTGGCCTCCCAAACTGCTGGGATTACAGGCATGAGCCACTGCACCCAGCCAATAACAGAAAACTTTCTAAACTTTGAGAAAGATGTAAGTATCCAGG